CAATTCAAAAACAAAACTATGCAATTCCATAAATTAAAACATTGACTGAATTTTAGCTTTTTATCAATTATTCGAAGAGAAAAATGTGCCAAATCACAAAAAGTGTATAAAATATATCTTTTAAAAAGTTTGACTATATTGCTATCCAATCAAACTAACATTTTCTTAATGCTATCTATGAGAACTGACACTTACTTTCCCTTCTTGTTCAAATTGTCAAGACATGTTGTTACATATTTATTGTAGTAGTCAATCTGTTCTTCAAAGAAAGCTCTCTTAGTATTCAAAGCCTTAAGGGTTTCTTTAATTCGCATCATCTCTTGCTTACGCCGCTGGCGATAGATTCTCTGGTTGCGAATGTCCTGGCAGAAAAAAAGTTTTTACTTTTTGATAGATTCCAAAGTGAATGTTTGGATTCTTCCAGTTGTTTTAATAATAAGATAATGATGGAAATGAAACTGACTCTTCTGCTGGATCTTTCAAGTCTGACGCCTGAAGTCCTTGTTATTAGGTCAAAACACTGTAATCACCGTTTCAAAATGTATGATCCAGTAGAAGAATCTTTTTGGTAGGTCGTTTCTGAATGATACGTGTTTCTGTTATTATATGCTTGAGGAAAGTCCTTGTATGTGGAAACTTGTATTCTGTAAAGCCATTTTTTAAAGATCTGATGCAAATATAACTGCAACAGAATTTTAAAAGAATACAACCACATGTATATATAAATCGCATGTGTGGTATTTATTTATTTATTTTTAATTGTGTGTATAAATATATATTGTTTCTTCAACTTCATTCATTTTACTCATACCTGTACTATCATATTGATGATGGCCTGATAGTGATCTTTATGGGACACAACATTAGCCAGCACTAGATTGTGAAGATTCTTTTTTATTTTTGCCTTCATAGCCTCCAAAGGAATCCTCGTGTCGTCCATTATGGACTTTTGTCGCAGCAAACCAGCATCCTTGGCAGTGGCTCTTTCGTCCACCTTATCTCTTTTCCTGATCAGAGCTGCATGCTCCTCCTCTTGCTCCTCAGTGGCTGGAGTGTTCAGAATCTTGGTCAGCGTCTCTCCAGGCTGACAGCGGATCACATCCACTATCATTCGTTTTGTCCTAGAAATAGACAAGACATTTCAAACCTAAGGTGTCACATGGTAATCTAGAAAGGGATTAAACTTTACCATCACAAATGTGTATACTTAACAAACATCTTTTTACCATCGCCTCTTGACAATCTTTTAATTCCTTTTCAAATTGGTAAAATTCTTGAATATGTTTATCTATATTCTCAAAGTTATGAACAGACTAACTCTCTGAGAGCTTACCTTATCAGTAAATTCTTAGTGTCAGTCTGGTCAGTATCTGGCACCTCAAACTTATTTGACAGGGTCAGCAGAATGGTTTGTTTTGCTAACTGGGCTTTGTTGGCGCTGTCAGTTTCACCTTCCCCTTAAATAAATGAAACAATATGTTCAAGTACTAATCAAACACATAATGATCAGTCATATAACTTAACCCTGATTTCTTCTCAAAGTACGTTGTCACAGCTAAAACCTTTCCTTAGTGATGATCTTGAAAATGATATGAAATCCCCATAAAACTTGCTACTTACTTCAAATACTGACGAGATCTCATAAATATTTCTTAATATTTATCCTAAGGTTTTTGTGTTTCAATCAAAACATAATATCATCTAGTGATGATTACACGATTTAAAAATAGTAGTTATTTTACTCCATCCTACATCATAAACAATACATGGCCTTTCACTGCATTTAATATTCACATGTAAAACAAAGCCTTAATAGAAGTACATTTTAACTTATGCCACAGGTAAGCTCTCCAATCTACATAAAGCCTTGTCTTATCAGCATTGCTGCGATTTCAAAAAGCAATGACAAAAAAGCACACAATGCAACATTACAATCCTACTCTCTAATCTCATAACTTCTGTTATGTTTGCTATCAATTTATCTTTTAATCTATAACTTCAGTGAAGATATGTAATCTTTAACTGTCAGACTTTGTTCCTATTCAAATCCATGCTGTTAACAACCTTCTACCAAAGTGCACTGTTTAAGCAGATACGGACAACAATGGAATACCAAGGAAGTGGAATGTCTTGTCTAAGGACAGTTGATATGCCTTTATCTATTTCTGTTCAAAAGTTGCAAATGAGGCACACTTCACTAAAGAACTTAATTACTTTTCATAAAAGAACTTAAGACCAAAAATTTGTGTTTATTTCGAGTCCTGACAAATCAGAAATAGTCCACTAAATTCATGATATAAAACCCCTTTCACAAAAAAAAAAAAAAAAGTTTGAAATGTCTAATGTTCTACACCAAAATATAAAATATTTAGTGCAGAAAGAAATAAAGGTAACCATCATCCCTGATCAAAGTGGAATAAAAAATTTAGTCTTCAAGTGAAGACCAACATTCAACCTCCATTCCTTTGTGAAATAGGGTTCTGGTATAAGACCACTTCCTCGTAACACTGTGTAATCACTGATTTAATGAGAATCATCTAAGATAGCTCAAAGTCTAGCAATATTTTGTGGGATTTGGAGGAGAGTGTGGTAAGAAATAATGTCTGAGTATTGAGTATGATGTGGCAACAAGTCAAAGCTGAGTGTATTCATCCACACATTTTTTCCCTCTTAGTATTGTAAGTTATAGTCTATTGCTAAAAAAATAATTTCTCCATGTCTTGTGTGTTGCTTTTGTATTGCTTTCTTAGAAGACATTCATAGAGTTTCATCCTTTTTGCTAAAATGTTAACCACACATTCCCAATTCTTGCACATTTTCTAGTCTCATATGACATCACACAGTGTTGACAGTCTCACTTTACGCTATCTCAGATGATTTACATTGGTTACACTAGTAAGGGTGGGAAGGGTTTTTTCAGGAATTAAAATTAAGCAGTCTTGTACCAGTACTTCATATTCATCACATTATTAAATCCATGCAGATATAATAAGGGGGCTTCACTCTTGCTAAGGTAGTTTTTGGTTTGATCTCAGGTTTAGGCACAATTTGCTGTATGTACTTTTTTCTTTAATCAATTTACACTGTATATAAAAGGTTGAATAAACTACAATGTTCATTGGTAGAGGGCATCCTTCAACTGGCGCTAATACATAACATTTAACATGCAACATTAAATCATCTACATAACATCACAAAAATAGTTAGTTGTTTGTCTTCAGTTCAAGTATTTCCACAATTAATTGTGGGAAAACATAACGTAACATGGTAAAGGACCCCAGAAACTACATTTACATACAAATTCTAAATAATGAAATAAATAAATAATTTATATTTTTATGGAAGTGTGAAAACATATTTTTATTTAAAAAATCTTAGCCCATATAAAAAAATTTTAATAATACTTCCCAAGCAATGAAGCTGCATTTTCTAGACAAGCAAAAGCTTAACAAGCAAACATTTCTTAGGAAATGAGTATAGAAAAAGAAAGTATGGGTAACATTGGTACAGTGTATTATTCTAGGTTTGACAAAGAAAACAACATAAACAATGGTGAAAAATGAACGAGACAGGTGCTTCCATGCAATAAATTTTTTAAATTAAAAACAGGACATAAATGTGTAGTACCTGGTGCTTTCTTGCCTGAAATAAAACAAAATATCTTAAAAATAATTCTTACATAAAATTGAAATCCCCAAAAGCTGTAGCCATGATTATTTTGTGCATGTGTTTCTAATAAATCCTTATACCTTCTCTAATTGCCTTTCAAAGCATTACTATTTTGCTTTTCTAATCTTGTTTAACACCTGCTATTCTGGTCTCAAGAGAAAGTCCTCACATCAAGCATAAACCACATTACATAAATGAGAACCTGTCTTTAATTCCAATTAATAGGCTAAACAAAAATTGTTATCATTACTCCATACAAGCTGCAATCTGTGAGCTTTCACCAATTTGCAAGATAATGAAATATACCACCAAGCCAGTTATATATGCCATTATTTCATAAGTATGCTGAAACATGTTCCATTTTTAATACATATACATTGTGGTTTTGTGATTGTTTGCATGTGCAGGTGCACATCTGCATGTGCAGGCATGTTTGTGCATACATATGCATGGATGTCTCATCATCGTTACCTAAAAGCGCATCCATGTCAGGGTTCTCCCCCAGGTCCTCCAAAAGTTCATGGATAGGGTCATTATGATCAGGAGCTATGGCATCTTGGTGCTCCAGCAACAGCTGAAAGTTCAGAAAACAATCATGGTCAGTTACACACATACAATACTTCTACCCATGGAACCATTTGCTGGATAGAACTTCCACTCAAATCTAATAATATTTTCTCTACAGTTAATCCTGTAATGACGGAG